ATAATCCCAGCTACTCAGGAGGCTAATACAAGGAGGGTCACAAATTTGAGGTCAGCCTCAACATCTTGGCAAGAGTCTGTCTTTAAAAAAAAAAAAAAAAAATACATAAAAACTAAACTGTGTCAATATAATTAATTTGCTTTGAGGGAAAAAATTGCTTTGAGGCTACTTAAAGAAGCCATCTTTAAAAGATACCAAATATGTGTTATAGGTACACATTAAAACTCATTATTAAAAAAAATCATTATTCATTTATAGCTTCCTTTTGATCTTATTATTACTATATCTCCATTTTATACATAAGGCATCTGGGGCTGAGTGTTTAAGGAACCTGCCTGAGCCCAGAACTCCTAGTGTGTGGCTCTTCTTGGTACCCTTCATCAACTGGAATAAGACTGTGTTATACTATCTACCATATGTAGCTTTTGAACTACTATCAACAGCCTACACTTAAGAAACTCCTGAGAGTTTTTCTATTAGAAAAAAAAAAAAAAAAGGTATAGGAAACCATTTGATCTATCGTACAGTGTTCTTTTACCTGTAGGAGAGCAAAGTGGAAAATTAGGTATTAAGAAACAGGTAGAGGGCTGGGGATGTGGCTCAAGCGGTAGCGCGCTCGCCTGGCATGCGTGTGGCCAGGGTTTGATCCTCAGCACCACATACAAACAAAGATGTTGTGTCCGCCAAGAACTAAAAAATAAATATTAAAAAATTCTCTCTCTCTTAAAAAAAAAAAAAAAAAGAAAGAAACAGGTAGAACAGGAGATCAAACATTTCTTTAAAATTTCATTTCAGTTGATCAGTTTTAAAGGCTTCAATTACCCCAATAACAACATATGATTTGGGAGTCATTAGTCATTAAAGAGTGTTATAAATATCAGTTCCATATTAAAGGGTTTAAAATTTTTTGGAAGATTTATCCCAAAGCATTTTTTAATGTACAGAATGTTCACTCCAGCAACACTGATAAAGGGGCAACATGAGAGAATTCTGGGAAGACGCTGGCCTCAATGGCAGTAGGATTTTCAGATTTTCCAAGTCTCTCCACGAAAACACAGAACAGATACCAAAATTTGGTGCAGACCCAAAACACAAGTGTGTGGAGGCAAATCACCAACAGCCATGTGACCTGCCTGCTATCAGCCTTGGGTGTGCAGAGGGACCACCAGTGGGGCACTGGAAACTGGGAGGGGTCTTGCCCTTTCCAACAGCAGGGACCACAGGAGCCCTCAATAAAAAAGTCTGAAGGATACTCTAGACCCAGGATTCCTGAAACTGACCAGATGTCCTTCCAGGACAAGCACCACGTACACTAAGGAGAAGCCCAAGGAAAGGATCAAATTAGAGCAAGCAGCATTCACAGGAGCAAAAGAAATGAGAAAGGCCAAAGAAAAACAAGCCAGAAAAACCTTAGAAAAGCAAGCTGCCATGTTTGTGAACACTATCTGAAGATATGCTGTGAAGTTAGGACAACTATCTCAGCCAAGTCGGAAAAGGCTGGGAAAGTTCACACAAAGATAAATTCTTAAAATCATACAAAAGTAAGAAGGAAAAATAAAACTGAACCACAAAATGACTTTTAAAGAATTAAGGACAGAATAACATCCCTGCAGATAATAAAAGCATGCTAAACAAACACGTTCAATAATAAGAGATAACTATGATACTATTTCAAAATGAGATAAAACACATGAAGAAAACAATTTAAGACATGAAAAATTAATCAGAACTTAAAACTCAACAAATCAAGAAAAAATTAGAAATTAAAGTAAAATCACTTTTAGAAATGAAGATTAGCCAAGAAAGAACATAAGAACAAACACACCCAACAAATAATGAACCTTAAAGAAATAAAAAGTAGCCCTCTCCCCTGGCTGTCCAAGATGCTGAAAGGAAAGAAGGCCAAGGGGAAGAAGGTGGCCCCGCCTGGGGTTGGGGGGCGGGGAGTGGGGAAGAAGCAGGCCAAGAAGGTGGCAAATCCCCTGCTTGAGCAAAGGTCTATGAATTCTGCACTGGATAAGACATTAGCCCAAAAGGGACCTTGGCATTTTGAAAACTGTCCCTACTTATCTGGCTGCAGTGACAAAGGACTATTCTCCCATCAACAACTGAAAGTGCCTCTTGTGACTCACCAGTTCACCCAGGTCTTAGTCTGCCTAAAAGTTACCCAGTGCTTAAGGTGGCCCTCAGCTGTGGATGAGAAACAAAGTAAGAGAAGAAACAGAGACCTGGCCCGGGCTAGGACTATGTAAGTAGTGTGGCTTTTTGAGCTCGTTACCTGACATTTGTTGAGAAGAAAGCTGCCTGCAAAAAGGACCACCTGTCCTTGAGGGATTCATAGTGTCACTCTCCTTGGTGGAGAGCAAGGCTCAGCTAGTAGTGCCTACACACAATGTGGGTCCCATTGAACTGGTTATCTTCCTGCCCACCCTGTGTCATAAGAAGGGTGTCTCCCAACTACACCATCAAGAGGAAGGCCTCACTGGTACTTGCAATCTGCAGTAAGGCCTGGGCCATTGTTGCCTTCATGCAAGTCAATTTGGAAGAAAAAGGAGCCCTGGCTAAGCCTGTGGAAATTATTAGGACCAATTACATGGAAGACTTGAGGTCCATCATCACTGGGGCAGGGGCGGGGCGGGGGATGTTCCTGATCCAAACTTTGCTAGGAAAGGCAAAGGCTACAGAACTTGCCACCAACCTGGGTTAAACGAACACAACATAAAAATAACATTCTCCAGAAAATAAATAAAAGATAAAAACAAAAAATTAACTAAATAAGTAACCCCCACAAAAGTCTAAAAGAAATGAAGAAAAAAAAATTTAGAGAAAAATTGACAAATCCATGAGTCCAAATGAAGAATATTTAAAAAAAACAAACAAAAAAAACCCCACAACACTAATTGGTCACCTTCTGAGAATGACAGAACAAATTGTTATCTTGAAAACTAGGTAAATTAAAGGAGATAATCAAGCATTTCTCTTATCAGTTAAAAACTAAAAATAAAATGAAAAAATTGAATATCACTATTTTGTGACCCCCCGATGGATTACTGCATTAAACACCAACAGCCATACAAATCAAAAAGAATGAAAACTACACATCATGTGCTTCCTGATGGAAGAACCTGACATTAACCCAAGAGACTGAATGTCCATCTGACCATACTTGAGTATCCAGCTGTCAAACTGCAGGAAATTCAGACAGAAGAATATGGTGGGAGATACCATGTAATCTGCAAAATCCAGACAGCTGAACAGCATGGGTCAAAGGTCAGAGTTCTTCCCTACAATATGTGGTAAGGAAAAGGGTGGAGGAGGAACCTATAGATTAAGATAAAGACTTAAGACTACATATCAAGTTTTTTAAACTGGCAAGACTAATTTACAGTGCTTTGGCATCAGTTCTAAATGATGTTCTTTTCCCTTAGCAAAACACGGCTGAAGCCATTAAAATGATGAGCTTAAGCAAGGCATATCAAACAGAAAAATTCTTTTTAACAGCAGCATATTTCTTTAATATGCTTTAGCTGCCAAAATTATATCACAGGAGGAATCATCCTCAGCCAAAAGCCCACAAGGAAAAGTAGGCAGATGTTTAAAAAACAGTTTAGGAATTGATTTGTTTATGCAAAATAATTTTAATTAATGAAGCATTCCAAACAATGTTTCAGTCTACAAATAACAGAGGAAAACATAGTAGTGTGGCTCTTTGAGCTCGTCACCTGACACTTGTTAATACCCCTTACAAATTAGCGAGGATTGAGCTTCATTTATGTCAAGGGCAGCTGTGCTCCCTCTCATACTTAATGTCTAAACTTTTCAACATATTTTGGGTATTGAAAACTGATCCAAGCCTATCATCATATTTAATCAAGAACAGGAAGGTTTTCGTTAAACAGTACCCTTGAGACAGGCATAGAGGTACACACCCACAGTCCCAGCTATTGGGGGGGCTCAGGCAAAAGGACTGCTTGACCCCAGAAGTTCTGGGCCAGCCTGGACAAAACAGTAAGAACCTGCCTCAACAAAACAAAATCCCCAAGTCTGGCTTGATATATAACCTAGTTTGGGAATCCAAATGAAGGAATGTAAATACCTTTTAAGTTTTTTTTTATTTTTTATTTTTTACCTATTTGTGTATCTTCATGAAAAAGACTTATTTAAAGCGGGTCCACCGCACAGAAAACACCTTCCTTCTGACATCAGCTTGGAGAAAGCACTTACTAAAATTCTTACTATCTCTCAATAACTGTTACATATCCCATTTTATCTGCATAACCTTGGCATCTTACTGCACTGTAACCCACAAGTTTGTGCAAGCAAGTTTTTTTTTTTTTTTTTGCGGGGGGCGGGCGGTGTCATATAGTCAAAAGGCATTCACAAAATCTTTTTTTTTTCTTTTTCTTTTAGAGAGAGAGAGAATTTTTTAATATTTATTTTTCAGTTTTCGGCAGACACAACATCTTCGTTTGTATGTGGTGCTGAGGATCGAACCCAGGCCAAACGCATGCCAGGCGAGCACTATACTGCTTGAGCCACATCCCCAGCCCATCATTCACAGAATCTTCAAAAAATCATTTTACTGGGGCTGAGGTTGTGGCTCAGTGGCAGAGCACTTGCCTAGCATTCAATCCTCAGTACCACATACAAATAAATAAAAAATAAAGGTACATCAACAACTAAAAAATATTTTTGTAAGTCATTTTACTGTTCACAAAATTTTCCTGTAGTCAGATGTCAACTGTCAATAATCTTGTATACGTATACATTCAAATACACACACACACACCCACCAAAAAATAAATAAATAAATAGAATACAATCTGTTGATGTAAGAGCCTGTAAAAGGCTTATCTGTAGTTAAGTTTTAATGTAGCTAAATCCTTGTATAATCCAATGGATAGTCAAAACTGCTATGATTTTCTGTCTACACACACACACACACACACACACACACACACACTTGAATGTGATGGTCAAACACCACACTGGGAGCTTACCATAACCGTGCAGTCCTCTGAACCACTGGCAATGACCTGATCGTTGTGCGGGCACCAGTCTATATCCAGCACTGGTCCTGTGTGACCACACACAGTAGGGTAGGATTTGTCAATTCGACCAGTCTGAAAGAAGAGAGAGAGAAACCTTTTATATAACATCAATACCACAGAGCTTTTATGTTTTCTCAGGCCTATTTCTTCTTTATTATTTCTACCCAAAACTCTCAGCTGTCTACTTGTGAGGACATTCACATGCATCAATGCCAACTAGTGAGATGGATTAGCTTTCACTTGTAGTAACAGCTACTACCAAGTTCATTCATCAAATTACAATTAAAATTTCTAGAAACAAAAAGATTTTATATTTTGTATCTAAAAAAGGATTTTATTTGCACTCATAAACATAGCACAGAGAATTTATAAGTCTTTTTTGCCAAAATATAATTCTAGAACAGCCAAACTGTAAATTATGGATGTTTCTACTGGAGGGGGCAAAAAAAACCCCTTGGTATTACTTAAAATGTGAAATATAACTCTTAATATAAAAGGATAATATCTTTGAATATACAAATTAACAATTCTAGAATTGATTGGCATCATTAAAGTAAAACGTTTTTTAGAACCTTTAGCTGATTTTGTGTATGTGTGTGTGTATGTGTGTGTGTGTGTGTATTCTGTTTGGTAGAACTAGGGACTGAACCTAGGACTTTGCACATGTTAAGAAAGCACTTTTCAACTAAGCTAGATTCCCAGCCCTTTTATTTTATTTTGAGGCAGGATCTTGCTAAGTTACCCAGACTGGACTTGAATTTATAATCCTCCTGCCTCAACCTCCCAGATAACAGGTATTCTAGATGTGTGCCACCACACCCAGTTTAAAGGGCATATATTTTAACGTCTCCATCTCTGTCTCCAATAGAAATACCAACCAGACAGTCTAACTAGATCTCACCCATTCTCCAGTTCCATGTCTCGTTAAGAATATTTAATGTTGGTTGTAGTCACCACTATTTTCTCATTTTACACATTTGAATCTAACAAGCCAACCAGTCTTATTAGACCAATTTGGTGTCTACCAAGCCAACTGCTGTTATGATAGGTGTAGAAAAGCTCTATCTGTTTTTCAACAGGTTAGCACCATGCCATGCTGGGGCTGGATGGGCTCTAAGAGCAGGTGCACAGAAGGAATGGCTGCACTGTGTAAATGAACCCATTTGCTGTTGCTGCTCTCTTGTTATAGCAAACTGTCAACAATGGGGCAGGCTTCTTGACGAATTTTCAAGCTCAGTAACCTCTATGACTTCTCCAACTTAACTCAACTGTGGAAATTTCCAGAGAAGCAATGTGCTAAAGTGCCAAACCACATGCTCTGGAGTGAGACAGACATGGTTTCAAATCCACGCTCTACAGCTTAAATAGTGGCTGACCTTAAGCAAGTAAAAAAAATCTCTCTTGGTTCCAGTTCATCAACTGTAAAACAGACACTTAACTCCCAGGATTATGGTGAGGATTAAATGAGAGAACATGTTTAGGTAAATGATAGCTCAGTGTTACAATTATCAGTGTAAAATATGTAAAAAATTTAATTATAGTACCTGGACTATAATAAAAACTCAATAAAAAACTGTCACTGATTATTAGTTCTTCTAGCACAGTATTTATATTACTTCATCATAAGAATTAATGAATGTGTATTATTTATGAACTTTTATGGGCCAGATACTGTGCTGAGTTCTGGAGGTACAGAGCTGAACAGGGAAGCCCTGTCCTAGCTGAGCATGGAGTCCAACTGGAAAGAGACATTTAAATCGCCAGTTACAGTGCAGCACAAGACCTGGTCCATGCAGACAGACCTAGGGAAAAAGAAACACAGGATATTCAACTAGGCTTGTGGGAGGGAGTGGTGTCACAGTCTTTGGAAGGTTTTCAGCTGAGAAGGGCAATTTCTAAGCTGAGACTTAAAGATGGCCCTCTGCACAGACCTAAGGCCTAGGTTTCTTCACCTCTTCCTCCTTTCCCTTGCAAACCTCACTGAACTCAGGGGCTTGGGATGTAGCTCAGGGACAGAGCACCTGTCTAGCATACTCAGTCCCCAACCAGCATCAACACCACCATCAGAAAAAGAGGAAATATCAATGAAAATCATATTATATAAAATCCAAGTGTTGGGGGCTGGGATTGTGGCTCAGTGGTAGAGTGCTCGCCTAGCTAGTGTGAGGCCTGGGGTTCTATCCTCGGCACCACATAAAATTAAAATAAAGATATTGTGTTCAAGTACAACTAAAAAATAAATATTTTTAAAAAAACCCAAGTGTTATAAAAAGGGTCATTTGTAGGCAGCAAAGCAGAAAGAGCCGAGAACCAGCCTGCCCAGGCTAGGATCACATCTCCACTATTTCTAGCTGTGAGTTTTTGGCCAACTTACTCCAACTCTCAAGCTCAGTTTCTCAGCTGTAATACCAGTATGTTAATAATTCATTCTTTAAGAGTTGATGGGAAAACTGAATAAGACAATCAAGGTAAAGCATTTGCTACTATTCCAGCACTTGAAGTGTTCAACAGATGCCATTCAAAATTTAACAAATACTGGAATTCACTCTACCACACTTCAGATCATGTCTTTCCTTAAAGCAATAGCAAATAAGCACCTAAGCCGGGTGGCTTTATCAGTTTCTCTTACTGCATACCCATAAAAACTATACGAGATGGTTAGTTCACTTGCATCCTTAGCAATGTTCCACGCTCAAGCTGGTGGTGGTGTGCGTAGTGTTCATTCTAGTGTATATAATGATTATCTTAAGTACAGGAATCATCATTCATTGAATGTGTGATATTTCATAATTTTAAACATTCTAGACAAGAAGGGCTGAGTGATGTCTGAATGACTGTGGACAAACTTCTGAAAGGTATGACAAAAACAAAGAAATAGAGAAGTATGTCGGAAATGCTAAGAAGTTCCCAAGTTCAAGAAAGTAAACCAGGAAAAAGGACTGGGACACTAAAACAACAGTGAGGGGGGGGGAAAACTGGTCAATATGGTAAACACAAGTAGAGAACTATGTAAAACAGCAGTTATAATGACAAAGTACAGAAGAGTAAGTAAAGTAGAAAGGCATGTGTTCCCAGTCAACAGGTTTCAGGGCCCTTCTCTAAAGAAAAGCAGGAAAACTGACTAGTTGACATGACTGGAAGTCATACAATCATGTTAAAATTAAGGGAAAACACTAAAAGGAAAAAGAACATGTAACTTCCAAAATGTATGCAGGAGGAGGGGCAGGGGAGATGTCAGGAATAAAAGAACCTTTTTGATCCTACAAAGATGAAATAAAAGGAAAAAAGGAGAAACAAGCATGAACACTAGAAAGCACACAATAAGATGATGGAAACAAAACCAACTATAAATCATGATGCGGTAATGCAAATAGGCTAAACTCACTAGCTAAACCATAAGGACTCTTGAGATCAGATCAAATCCAGCTACAGGACACAGACACACTCAGCACTGGGGATGTGGTGGCACTTTGCCTAGTATGCTTAGCTGGGTTCCACCTCCAGCACACATTTTAAAAAATAATGACACTTGCTAGGCTTGGTGGTGCATGCCTGTCATCCCAGCAGCTTGGGAGACTGAGGCAGGAGGATCGCAAGTTCCAAGCCAGCCTCAGCAATGAGGCGCTGAGCAACTCAGGGAGACCCTGTCTCTAAAAATAAAATACCAAAAAGGGCTGGGGATATGGCTCCATGACTAAGTGCCCCTGAGTTTTATTCCCAGTACCAAAAAATAATAATAATGACACCAACAAGTAACTAAAGGGGAGGGAACACATAAAAAATCCACCCAGAGGCTAAATTAATAATAACAACACACACACAAACACACTAATATAATATGACCTTGTAGCCAATATTTGAAAATACACATTTTTTTTTTCAAAGCAAACATAAAACATTATCTTTTTTTTAAGTGATCAATTATGAAACCACAAAGCAAATTTCAAAAAGTACCAAGGAGTCAGTATCGTGGAAAGTATGTTTGGAGTACAATGTAAAACAATTATAAATTAATAGGAAGTTATTAACAAAAAAATCTCCGATAGCTGGGCTCTGTGGCACACACCTGTCATCCCAGCAGCTCGGGAGGCTGAGGCAGGAGGATTCTGAGTTCAAAGCCAGCCTCAGCAACAGCAAGGCACTTAGCAACTCAGTGAGACCCTGTCTCTAAATAAAATACAAAACAGGGCTAGGGATGTGGCTCAGTGGTTGAGTGCCCCTGAGTTCAATCCCTATTACCCACCCCTCAAAAATAAAGCCTCCAATACAAACAAGTCTCCAATACACTAGAAAAAAAATATAAATTCACTAGTTCACAGTTTAAAAAAAATAGTAATGGATAACAAAAAAAAGTTAAAATTGAATGATATGATATATCAAAATACATGGAATTCAGCTAACACAGATCCCCATAAAAGTTTTATAGTCCTAAATGCATATTTTAGAAAAGATCTCATATACATGGTAGAAGTATGAATAAGGAATAACATTTGACAAGAAATCTGAAAACTCTATGAAACAGGCTGAGGAAGGAGAATTGCAAATTCAAAGCCAGCCTCAGCAACTTACCAAGACTGTCCTTAAATAAAAGATTAAAAAATGTGAATCAGTGGTTAAGCACCCCTAGGTTAAAATCCAATGCCAAAAATAAATAAAACCTCCATGAGACAATCAGGAAAATGTAACTCACTTAAGATTAAAAACCTTGAATATCGTAAAAGAATGAGAGATGTAACTCCACCCATCACCTACCCTCATTAATCAATCACCAAATACCAGAACCAAAATAGGCCCAGGTGGTTTTATAAGAGAGATCATCTCAAACTTTTCCAGGGAACAGAAAAAGGAATTCCACTGAACTCATTACATAAGGTCTGTGTCACAAAGGCTAAAGAAAAAAAACAGAAAACCAAATTCAGTAATGTGAGTTTTTCTCAAAAAAATAAGCAAATTAGCAATAAGCAATGTGAAAAGACTAGTTACAAACCAGGATAAGATATACGCAGTACATATACCCAGCAAGTGAACAGTCAATCTTAACAAAGAATGGCCAGATATGAGCCAAAAACTCA